GGGGGGTGGGGGGGAATCAGACATTCAAAATTTGTAAATGTCCAGTTAGCTCAATTGCTATCCTGGCCACAGGGAGTTTTCAGTTTCCATTGCCTACTCAGTTTATGTTCTAGCTCGTTGTTAGAATATTATTTACTAACATGAGATGCGAGATTATACAGAAGGATGTTCCACATCTTAAAGATAATTGTAATTATTCTAGTGCAGGCCACAGTTCACCGTCCTTCTCTTTTAGGATGAAGTCCAAAAGACTAAAGATATGTTGAATAATGTGGCTTTAGATGAAGCCAGTTTGGAAGCCAAGATTGAAAAACGGAAATCGGAACTGGAAAGAAGCCAGAAGAGGCTCCAGACTCTACAAAGTGTGCGGTAAAGATTAGGAACTGATTATCTACTGCATCAGTGATGGGACTGTGCACTGTTACTGCTTAGAGCAGTGAGGAGTGAGGTCTGTAAGAGCCTGGGATGATGCCTTGTGGAAGAGAGAAATTCTCTTCTCTAGAAATGCCCAGTCTGTATTGTTACTATTCATTTTTCTGTTACAATGTATCTGAGATCAGAATTTCAGGGCTGTTAAAAGTGGCCAGAGTTGTGTTCATTACATATCCTTTGTTAGGATGGTTTGCTCCAGGCAGTGACACTGCCTGCCATGAAATGAAGATGGTGAGATTCACACCTTGGGTTGATTTCTTGTCCCATATTAAACTGCAGGTTTGTATAGTCTCTGAATGCATAAATAGCTCATGCTCTGGTTTTGACCTAATATGAAAAAAACCCAAAAACCCACAAAAAACCCCAAGGAAATATTAGAAAAATGAATGGTGGAAGCAATGACATTGATCCATATACATGTTTTGATCAGGAATGCTTTGGGGAAGTGTATCGGGTAGATATAAAGCATTAAGCAGACAGAGCGTTCTTTGGGGTGCAACAGTTAGCTCCCTAGTATAAGGACATCACCACTTACTGGAGTCAAGTCTAGTTACACTTTTAATGACACAGCATGATTTTGTAGCAAGTGAGCCTCCAGCAAAGTAGGTGATGTTCCAGCCGTGCTACAAGCTATTTTTTTTGGAGTGGTGGAACAGCAGGATAAATTAGCTTAGATTTGCCTGCTGAAGGGGCCAAAATGGTGCCTTTCTGCCTGTTTGAAAGGAAATGGCAGTGGGTGCACGATAACATTTCCTTTGCTGTGTGTAGTTTTTGCAGGAGAGTTTAATGAGGGGTTTTGTTTGTTTGTTTTTTTGTCTTATGCTTTTAGTTTCTGAAGTAGTGTGGGAGCTTAAAAACAAAGGGTCCTTTTAGACTGGTTTAGTAGATGTGGAAAGGAAGCAGCAAACCTGAAAATGCTTCTTTCAGAATTCTGCTCATACAGGTGAATAGTTCACTGAGTAGTTTGTGCTTGTTCTCTCCAGTCCTGCTTTTATGGATGAGTATGAGAAAATTGAGGAGCAACTGCAGAAACAGTACAGTAGTTACCTAGAAAAATTCCGTAATCTGACCTACCTGGAGCAGCTCCTGGATGACCATCGACGGACAGAGCAAGAGATGTTTGAGGTAAGACAGCTTAGAAATGCTCAGCAAGACTGTAGATCCTGTAGTTCTTGGCCTTATAACACAAAGTGTTTTAGTAGCCCTTCACCAAAGCAGCACATTACTGGTTGCAGAGCCAGTTCTGAGTGACTGGCAGGGTACTGACAAGCCAGTAAGTGTGACTGCTCTTGGACAAGATGGCTTAATTTTTTGAGTTAGTGAAGTTAAACCAGTGTAGTGATGCCCCTTTCCAGTCTGTGACTCCCCCAACTAATTTTCAGTTGATGTTTCTTGTTCATGATTAATGTTTTCAGCATTTCTAATCTTCCTTTTGCTACATATGATGTAGGTTGTAAGAGTTATTAGGAGCTTACTTTTTATGGTCTGCCAACAACTGATGTATAAGGATTTCTTAGCACAAGGGTCTTAAATTTCCTTGTAGGTGCCTTCTTCAATGAGAACAGCAGAGTGTCAGTTAAAAGCTCAGATATGGTGGAATTCTCTCTCACGCAGGCTTCAGTGTTGTTTGACAGAAATTCTATATTCTGACTTGCTGAATTGCATCAATGCAGTGAGATTCTCTATTTTGTATCCTGCTGGATAATCCACATGAGTATCTCCTCTTGCTTCATGCCAACCTTTTATCTAGCTTCCTGTAGCTTCATGTTTTCCTTGGTTGGCTTTTCGCCCCTCTCACAGTCATTAACCAGTGAATCTTCTGTTCTTCACTGAAAAACTGTTTCAGTGAGTAATCTCCCCTTGGACCTTCATACTGGTGGGTGTGCTACACCTGGAGTAACCAGTGCTTTCTCCTTCTCATCATCCTATCTTTCATATGCAGAACAGGTTTTATTTTGTTAACCCAACTTACCCTTGTTCCTGGCAGAAATGTGGGAGAACTGTGTATGATGTTCCTTCTCTCTGGCTATGACTGCATGTTTTGCTTTTGCCATGTCTGTATGTGTCCACTGATTTGTAAACAGAGTAGTTTGGCTTTAACCTGACAGAGGGGAGATTGAGATGAGCTCTTAGGCAGAAGCTCTTCCCTGTGAGGGTGCTGAGGCGCTGGCACAGGTTGCCCAGAGAAGCTGTGGCTGCCCCATCCCTGGCAGTGTTCAAGGCTGGGTTGGATGGGTGTTGGAGTAACCTGGTCCAGTGGAAGGTGTCCCTATTCATAGCAGGGGGTTGGAACTGGAAGAGCTTCAAGGCTGCTTCCAATCTAAACCAGTCTGGGATTCAATGACCCAAGTTTTTTAGTATTCTCCTTTAAAGTATTCGTAACTCTGTTTTTTAAAAGATAATGTGGGCATTCAACAACTTGTGAACCAATTTCCCACTAATGTCCCTTTTTATAAGCACTATTTCTGTAGACATTGTTTCACATATTTCTAATCAGCTAGGTGTTTTCATGTGTCTTGTTTTATAATGTTCTAGTTCTTCCCCATATCCATGGCCAAAGTCCTCAATTAAATCATAATCTTGAAATGCAGCCTAAAACCTGATTTTTTCCCTTCTGTTCAAATGCCTTTGAGACTTAATACCAAAAGTAAAAATGTTTTGAACTGAGCTACCTGAAACTGTTTATAAATTCACGAAGTGAGTAAAGTGTGCACCTCTTCAGGGGATTTTTGTTAAAAGATAATAAGACAAAGAAAAAGCCTTTGTTCCTCAGGGCTGTGCCTGTGATTAGAATACAGACAGCACTTCTTCTGTTCCTTTTTCTCCTTCTTTATGTGAGACACCTGGAACTCTACCCATATGGTTTGGCTTTTCCTCTACTAGGATGAGCAGGTAACAATGCTTCAGCATCATGCAGAATTAAAGACTATAAATGCTTGTGACAAAGATGTGTGGTTTTCTCTGCACACTTCCAGCATTTGTTATATGCAGTAGCATTAGCAGGCATCAGAACTGGAAACACCTTTAAGATGTGTTTTATACTTAAAGCATAAAGAGCATAAAGCCCTATATCTGTAAATACATTGCGTTAGCTTAAACCAGCATGAAGTTTACCTATCAAGTCTAATTCTAGAGCTTGAGCTTAACCCTGAAAGGACCCTGAAATCATTTCATTTTGCTTCCTGTTTGTTAGTCTGTTAAATTTTTTCATTAGAGAATGTTTGGGAAAACCAAAAATAAAAAGAGGGGGTGAGGGTAGGGAAAGGTACATTTCACAGTTGTTCTTTAAAACTGGAGAGAGGAGCATGGGAATCAAGAACAGAAACCTTGCACATCTGAAAATACATAGAGTATTTAAAGGATGAGACTCTAACCATCTCTTTGTGGGCAGCAATGACCCAAGTAGCCATGACTGCTTTGTTGTAGAAGCTGTTGCTTTGGAAGAAGAGGGGGTTTTGCATGTGTCTTATACAGCCAGATTTTCAGGAGTGACAGAGTCTCAGTGTTGAAGTCACACTGAGATGTCAGCGCTCAAAATCAGGCTCCAGGACTTGGATGGGGATGAAGAATCTGGGTTTCAACTAAACCAAGAGACTCATTGGTGCACTTTGATTTCCCAACCAGTGGAATTTTACTTTTTAGTTTGTTGGCACACAGTTTAATCCATTTCAGATGAGTCTCTTGCCCACCTGGAAGACCAGGGTGTTTCACTTCATCAGTCAGTCTTGATCTGCTTTGCAGGTGGTGCTTCATCACCTTTGGCTACTTGGTGGTGAAGCAGAACTATGGGTTATTACATGCCTGAAAAAAATAGCAGTTTGCTCCAAAATGAAGCTGCATGTTGTCCTAAAGTTTATCATCTAGTTTCATTTTCAGAATCAACAGAGGAAGAAAAGAGGATAATTACATTTAATTCATTTTAATAGACAGATTGTCAAAAAACACTGAAAGTTATGTTGATTTTTTTCAACCCTGATTTGTCTTTTGTTCCACCAAACAAATCTTAATTATCTTTTGTACTAGAAGTGAGAGTCAGCTCTTCTATCGTTGCTCTGTGTTTTGTTAAATAGCTTGCCAGAAAAAAGCACCAGCAGTGTAATTAGATTAATCCAGCACTCCGTGTGCTGTGCAGAACTGAGGGCTGGTTCTTGGACCACTTCCCTTCACTAGATGCATTTTTTAGGAGGAGTTTTTGTTCTGATTGAGAGACTTGCTGAATAACAAGACTAATCTCTAGTGCACTTGGACTCCAAGCTGTTTTGGTACCGTGCTGACGTTGCACAGCTAATGACCTGGGCCAGTGTGCTTCCTAATGAGATAAATGATTTAAAGATTGTACCCAAGGACACAATTGTAATTAAGTGCCACTGAGCAGTCGAAGCACTCCAGTGCTGCAGTGCTGGTTGGTTGCGTGGACTGGTTTGCTTTGTTCTTTCACGTGCTAGGTGAACTGGAGAGGAGAGCTGTGTAGCTCCTGCTGTTATCCTGAGCTTCCTGTTCCCTCTGCCTCCCAGTGTCTGGAATAATACGGAGCTGGGATTGAAAAGCAGTCGGCAGGAGTCTCCTGCCAGGCACTGAATGGAGAAATCTCTCTTTGGGTTAAAAGGAACTTAAAGGCTAGGTGCTGAGTCTGACCCAAATGAATTGCCAGAACTGCACAGTCAATGGGTGATGAAATTACCACCTGCAAAGCTGCTGCCCCAGTGATGTGGAAGCACTTTGAAATGTGTGAAAAATACGGAATTATTTCTCTCTTACTCTCATTTGTGGAGGATGTCAGAAGTCCTCACATGACTCCTCCTTTGAGTGTGTTTCTCACACTTATTGACAAACTGTCATGCACTACTTGGTATTGGAGCCAAGGAATTTAAATAAGGGGTTTTGGTCTTTGCAGTTCCCTTTTTTCATTTTCAGCCACCTCTTTTATTCTGTTTCTTTTCTCTTACGCTGCTCATGGAATTAATCCATCTTCTTTCCTTTCTGTGCAGAAGCAGAGATTTATGTGCTATGTCTCCTCAAAGATTTGTTCTTATATCTCTACTTTGTAGAAATATTCAGCATGCTTCATTAATTTTTATCCTGATTTTAAGATTGAATTGTTTCTGATATTTAGACATGAAAGCTATTAGAATTTGGGCTGCTCTAAAAACCAGAGTTTCAGGGGGGTTAGGTTTGGGGGTTGAAATTCACAATGGGCTATACATGAATGCCTATCTTTTAAAGGACAACACAGACTAATATAGTTCAAAAAGGTGTTTTTGAAACTAGCTTGTGTAATGCCAGAATAAATTGGCAATATCCTTCAGCATTTGCCTTTTCTCTAGACAGGATGTGCTTATTCTTTCTTGTACTTCTCAGAGGACATCCCTGAAGTACTTTCTACTTCAGCCACATTCTCCTAAGGTATTTTAAGACTGCTTTTGTGCTAGTGCTGTGAAATCTCAACTAAGGAATACCATGAAGTGGTGGACACGCAGAAGAGGATGTTCAAAGTCACTTTGTAATTTTCTTCAGTTTGGCATTGCCTAAACTATCATTCATCATTATACTACTACCAGTAAGCAGTCCATCATGATTAAGCAAGGAAAAGCCAACTAAACAGACTTTCCCTTTGTATTGTGACTTTCCCTTTGCAACCCACCCTCCCCAAGTAAAATTCACTCTTTATTAAACTAATGGGTTTTTTTTTAATCAGAGCTCCATACCTGAAGCAGATGCCCTATTCTGAATATACACATAATAGGAATACCTGGGTTCTGGTGCACTGGGATACTTCTTGACTCTGCTGCTTTTCATGTCTTTTTGTATTGAGCTATTCCATTTGAAATACTAAATCTGGATGTTCCCATTGTGATGTCTGCTTACTGAAACAGCCAGGCAGAAGGTTAATGTGAAAAGTGGTTGGTTTCAGTCTTTAATCTCCTAGCTAATGTACATTTGAATTATGATTGCTTGGTAACATTTTTGTAGGTACCAGGAGAGCAATCCTGGTCCAATGTTGCTGAATGATATTGAATATCAGATGTAAAAGTAAGCACAGGCATCTTAATTGTTGATTGGTTCTATGTTGGCATTTAGTGCGGTGTTAAAGTATGACAGCATTGGTGCACTGAGACACACAAATC